CAGCCTTGAGCACCTGCAGGGATGGGGCACCCACAGCTCTCTGGCCTCACCTCCATCTGAGTGAAGAACTTTCTCCTGACATCCAACCTAAATCTCCACTCTTTTAGTTTAAAGCCATTTCCCCTTGTCTTATCGCTATCAGACCCTGTAAAAAGTCAGTCCCCCTCCTGTTTATAAGCTCTCCTGAAGTCCTGGAAGGCCGCATTGAGGTCTCCCCAGAGCCTTCCATCCTCCAAGCTGAACAGCCCCATCTCCCTGAGCCTATCCTCACAGGAGAGGTGCTCCAGCTCTCTATCACCCTCCTGGCCCTCTCTGGACCCGCTCCAGCAGCTCTGTACCCTTCTTGTGCCCGACCCCCAGGCCTGGGTGCAGCACCGCATCTGGAGCCTATGCTGTCTTTCACCACGGTGGACACAGCCCCAGCCGGGCAGCACAACCGCAGATCTGCACCACCATCACCTCTCGCGCAGTGCCAAAGCACAGGCCGGGGCAGCGCCGCCAGAAGACAAAGTCCACCCCACCTTGGCAGCAACCACGCCGGACTCCGGGCAAGCGAGACGCACGGCCCTGAGACAAACTGCCGGCAACAAAACCCTGCCAAGAGCGTGAACGGGGAAAAGCCGTCACAGAGTCTCTACACCAAAATCAGCCCTTACTGGGCTGCAGATACGAAGGCGCGCAGAGGAACAGCGAGCACAACCACCCCGCCCCGCCCCACGCCTCCCCGCCCGCCTCCTTCCTCCCGGCCGAGGGGCGGGACCGCGCCGCTGGAGAGCCGCCCTCGCCGCCCGGCCCTCGGTGTCGCGCAGTGCGGACATAAACACGGCGCGGCGTGACCTCTGGCGGGACGGGGCGGGGAGCGGGCCGGCTGAGGTACGGCGCCGAGGGCAGGGGCGACCGGCGGGGATAGGGAGGAGGAGGCGCTGAGGCGGGCGGGGGGTCGGGTGCCGCAGTCCTTCCTCCTGCAGGTTGGGTGGCGGTTTCCTTTCGTCCGAGCGATCGTTGTGACGTTTTCTTTTTTCTGCTGAAGCGAGTTAAAGGTAGGATCCAGAAATGAGGAAGGTTTTGCTCGTGGAGCCGGTCATTTTCGTCTACGTATTCGCAAGTTCCCTGACGGGCCCGGTGGTGCAGCAGTTCATTTACCGAAAGGTGTGGGAAGAGGAGTACAACTCCACCGCCATCAGCAGCGACAACAGCAGTCACTGTGTGCGGAACAAGAGCAGCCCAACTTATGTCATGCAGAAGGTAAGAGCAAGGAGAAAAGGCAGCTGGAAATACAGGCGATAAAACCTTCAGCCTGTAGGTACTGAGCAAGTTGTTCTCTCTTTTACCTTATTTAACCTTTTATAGGTAGAAAATGTAGTAGTTTCCTAAACTGCTGTCACTTTGCTGCCTACTTGCTCTAGTGTTGCACTGGACGTAGTTGTCATGCTTTCAGGACAATGAAAGGCTGAAAGAGGCCAGGAAGAAAGATCCCAGAGAAGTCTGTGGGGATATAAGGTGTGTAAGGGAGAAGTTTTGCAATAAGGGTGGCACTGGCACGGGTTGCCCTGAGTTCTGGTGGGTGGAGCCCCATCCATGGAGACATTCAGGGTCAGAGATGGGGCCATGGGCGCCTAATCTAGCTCTTGGTGGCCTGTTCAGTGCAGGGAATTGGATTAAATGGCCTTTAAGGGTCCCTTCCAACTCAAACAGTTCCATGCTTCTATGAATTTTTTCCAGGAAGACGCTGAGATGAATTCATCCTCTAATCTTTTAGTCATCTTTTACTGGTTGAAAATCATCTTGGATTGGGCCCAAGTTGACATTGGCCTCCCGTAACAAAGGGTGCAGCTGCAAGCTCTCCTTCCATGTGTTTATTCACTATCAGTGGTGTCTCCGTGATTTGGAGTGCTCTTTGTACATACAGTTTGACAATTGTCCTACATATATGAAACATCAGATCTACCATTCACAGGACACTGCTCATCTACCTTGTTGAAATACAAAGATGGCGTGATGATCCATGGCCAGTACCATTTGTTATACTTTTTCATGGTATGCTTTGTAGCTGGGTGCTGATTGAAACCTCTGCAGTGGTACTTCAGAGCAGTTTTAATGTTACACATTAGCGGAACTGATGTGGGGTGTCAACAGAAGAGTTGATTATGCTCCATTTTTGCTTTCAGAGAGCCATGGAGTCATTAAGTTGGAAGAGGCTACTAAAATCATTTAGCCCAACTGTTAACCCATCATCACCATGCCCACTGACCATGTCCCTAAATGGCAGGTCTTCTCTTTCCTTGAGCACCTCCAGCAGCTGTGACTCCACCACCTCCCTACTGTCTCTTTCCACTCTGTTCCCACTGTTTCCCCAGTGTGTTGTATTTAGCAGTTATTACAGTTAGAGGTTACAGTTTGGATTAGATCAGAGTGCTGGTTCAACAGAAGGCTCACCTTTTTTTTCATTATTCTTATTTTTTTTTAGTTTGTAACTGTTTTTCTGAAGCAGTGAATTCCTCTAACATACTCTGTATTCACATGATTGCAGTATCTAACATGGGGATGGCAATAAGAATATATTTACAGAAGAAGTTCAGCAAAGTCATCCTTGATAACAGCAACTGAAGCTTGGATTGGGTTAAGTGGAATCTGACTCTGCATGGTAAAGTGAGAGAAGTAGATGCCTGGACTGTAAATTGTGCAGAAAATGGGGTTAAGTTACACAGAAAATAGAGTGAATGGAAGCTAACTGTTGGTATTCCTTAATGCTGCAGTAAAACAGGTGGCACTTGAAGATTTTGGTCACATCCAAGATTGGAATCTGTGACAACCTGCTTATGTGAAGAACTGAACATTGGAGCGTATCAACTTTATTTGTCAGATATAAAATAAAATCTTTAACGGCTTGTGCTTCTGTTGAAAATAAGAAATGTTCAGAATTTTTAGCATGAAGTAGGTTCTTCCTCTTCATAGGGCAGGAGAAGGAAGAATTTGAGGATAAAGAGGTAAATATTCTAGTCCAGAATGCCCAGACAACAGCCCAGACAGCAAAGGAAGGTAATATATGCCATCCATTGGAACTGATCTGGAGACCATAACCAATTATTGTTACAAATATGCTTGTGTGTTCCTCCCCCAAAGACTTTTTTTTTTTTTTTTTAATTATTAGCTCCTTGTTTGTAACTGTGGGCATTTTATTGTACAGTGTCATGTGTCAATGGAAAAGACAGCTATTAGAATTAAATGTGGTGCTTGGTAGTTCCAATTGCAGAGTCCATCAGAAAATCTACCAACATTTCTGTACTTTGCATTTGCTAGAAGCATCCCAAATACAACTCAAGCTTCCAATTGTGACCACATACACTCCAAGATTTAACACGTGATGTATCTTTTGGCAAAAGACTGAAGCAGAGTGCTGAAATTTACACAGCAGCACTGATTGAGGTGACAGTGGATTTGCAAGCTACAGGATTTTTGGCATAAAGGAAGCCAACTGTGTTTCCTACATACAGAAGTTTTGATATTTGAGAGTAGGAGTCCTTTGAGACGTTATCTGAGTCATGGCCAGTAGAACTTGTTTCCCTTTCTTGACAAAGTTCCATTCCCTCCATTTCGATGGTAGCCCACAGGCCATGAATTATTGAACAGTCATGCTGTAGTCTGTCTGTCTAGCCCGTATTTTTGTACCATGCTCGTTCCCATCGTATACTGATGTAGAACTCAAAATCACCTATAAATTTCAGTGGTGTCTGTGCTGAGCTGTAGCCCTGTGTATGATGAAAAGAGTAGATCCAGTAATACAGTCCCAGGCCCTTTCCTGATGATAGAAGTAGGTGTTTGGGATTTTCCAAGGTCACTGTGAGTTATATACATAGGTACAGTAAATTCTACTGTCAGGGGTGCTTGGTGTCAACTTTTAGAGGAAAACCTCTTCTATAGATTGAGTTAGTGTTAAGCCCTTCAGTTCTGGGGATGGAGAAGCTTCTTACTGATCTCATTTATTTCAAATTGAAATGTAAGAAGAAACTAAAAGAAGATAAAATCACTTGAGGTCTACAAAAAAAAGTAGACTGTCATTCAAAATGGATAGTCTAGGCAGCACGTGGATTAATTATTTCCTTGGATTTGCATTTATTATAGCAGTTTTGCGATAAATAAAAATGAATTTCAAAGTAACTCAAATGCACGGAGCCTTCTGATCCCTGGTTTGAATAATCGTTTTTGTAGCTCAGGAGGAGCTATGTTATTAATTAAACACTGCTTATCGTTCAGGGCACATGCATTTTCCTTTTGTCAGTAATATTTGTGATTTTGTGAGCCTGTTTGTCGTATGCTCTATGTTGTAGCCTCAGGCAAAAGACTTCCCTCTTAATTTGATCCATATGCATGTGAATCATTTCTTCACTGTCATTCTTTCCATTTTGTAGTCTGTGTTTTTGGGCATTACTTCTGTCCAGCATAAGCATTTGTCTCAGAGTAGAGCAAATTCACAGATTAGAAAGCTAGACCTTTGTTTTTGAGTGTGTGTAGTTACATGATGAGTGAGTCTTTGTAGCTACATGATTACAAAGCAGCTGAGGGTTTGACCAGTTGTTTTCTGTATCGATTTCAGATGAGTTTATAACAACACAAAGGGGGACTTTCACTCTAATTGAGTTTTTCTGTACTTCTTTAGTTGTCTGGTCAGTAGGCAGCAGGTCATTTGTGGCAGTAGGGTTACAGTCATTTGGGGTGTCATAGAATCATACTATAGAATCACAGAATGGCCCAGCTTGGAAGGGACCTCAAGGATCATGAAGCTCCAACCTTCCTGCCACATGCAGGGACCAACCTCCCCATTTAATACCAGACCAGGCTGCCCAGGGCCCCATCCAACCTGGCCTTGAACACCTCCAGGCTCAGGGCATCCACAGCCTCTCTGGGCAGCCTGTTCCAGCACCTCACCACTCTCTCTGTAAAGAGCTTCCCCCTGACATCCAACCTAAATCTTCCCTTCTTCAACTTAAAACTGTTCCCTCTTGTCCTGCTGTTATCTACCCTTTCAAAGAGTTGACTCCCCTCCTGTTTTTGGGCTCCCTTTAGGTACTGGAAGGGAATCTGAATTTATAGCCACATTCCTTACGTTGTACACCTGCTTCCAAAACAATGAGACCCAAACCTTTGCTGGTTTCTTCCAAGTTCATATATCTGTGTATTTCAGTAGTAACATCTGCATTGCATGTTTAATGCAGACTGAGAACATAAATAGTAATAATATTTAGTTTGATTTCCAGTGTATTACCTATGTACTTTTCTATGGTGGTCATTGACTTAGAACCTGACACTTGTGAAGAACCAACGCCTGCAACAGGCGCTGTAAATGGCACAAATAGCACAGCCTGTTGCAGAAAGGTGTTTTCATGCTCTATAAATGCAGCCACTCCCTGCCCTGGAGTTATTTGTGCTTTATTTGCTGTGCTTTGTTTGCTGTGCCTGTTTGTCTGTGGGCTGAGTTGCTTCCTTTCCTATTGGCACTGTCGTTTCAGACCAAATAATTTCCCATCCCTTGCCAGTCTTGCTGCCATTCTCCTCTCACATTAAGTCCTTTCCTACAGCTTTATGCTCCAGGTTGCCTGGCTTCCTGCTGCACTGCCATACCCATAGACAGGGCTGCTGCCCTGCTCTGTCTGATGCCTCAGGGATCTGATTTCAGAGTTATGCTCTATGTTTGAAAGTCTATTTTGTGAGATGATCCTGTAGGAAGGGTTTGTGTGAATGCAGTTACCACCTTCTCTGCTGCTGCTCTTTTATCTGGACAGGTTGTTCTCTTTGAAAGGGCTGCTGGGACTGCTGTTTCTTCAGTCTGCATAAATCTATTAAAAGCCAGATCCAAATCAGCTTGCTGCACACCATCACTTAGCAGCCAGCTTCATTAATGTGCAAAATATTTTTTCCTATTAGCTCTTGAGTTCTTTTCTTTACAAACATTGATATTCTATTAACTATAAACTGTATTTGATTTTTAAACTTCTTTTTAAAAGAACCAAGACATTTTTTCCTATGATGTTTGTTTACAGCGTTAGCTACTGTTCCTTATGAGAGTACCTGCTGTGGCTTATCAACAGAGGTATCACTGATTTGGACAGTTTCTGAACCCAGAACTTGCCAGTAAGGAGTTAGTTCACATTCTATACACATGGGTCAATATAATTTTTAATACTGTTTCACATCTGTGTGCTGTTGCTACTCATAACACGGCACATTGGGATGTCAGCAGCAAACGCTGCCCTATTCACTTGCAGAATGTGCTGGTCAGTGAATTGCTTCTTTGTGACCTTCCCACCAGGATTATTTAGGGAGAAAAAAAAGATCTCCTGTGAGTAGAGAGCCTGGGCTGTGCTTCTCAATCAAAGATTGTTCTACTAATGATTTCTGAAGGATTAAAATGGGCCCAGTAAATGGGCCCAGTATCCTTTGGCAGTGCTCTGTATTGAAGGAGGTGCCTACAGTAAGAACACCAGCTCTTGTAAATGAACGTAGCAAAGAATTGTTGTTTTGTCTTCACTGAAACTGCTGTGTCAAGAGTACTTGTGAGAGCATATCTTAAGAAACAAGTTCTGGTTCTGGGGTCTAATGCAACAAGGGATGTTTGAGAGGTGCTGGAAACAGAATTACAAAGGCGTGTCTTTGAAAAATGCAATTCCTTTGTATTATTATCTGGTATAATGTATATATTATGATATATACTACTATGCTGTATTTGATTACAGCTTAATACAGTATTATATGAGATCGTATAATCTTGGAAGATGATACTGTATATTTTACAATAACATATTTTATAATATGTAAACAAATACTGTTTTATGATAAATGTTATGCTGCATGGCATAAGTATATAAAGTACATGATTATATATCATATATATACATACATATATATGTATATATATATATTTTTTTTTTTTACAGTATATTATGGTGTTTACCATTATTTCTGATTTTCTCTTTGCAGGGAGTTCAAGAAAAGACTTCTCTTTTTAACATGCAGCTGGACTTAACAGGGGCAGTTCCCAGCCTGATAGTTGCTTTTATCATTGTAGCTAATGGGGATCACCAGGGACGAAAAAAGTCTTTGGTTTTACCATCAACTGGAGCTTTGATTGCAGATATTTTCCTCACTATAATATCGTACTTCTCCTTGCCAATCTCTGTCCTGTTTTTTGTTACATTTATTTCGGGACTGTTTGGGAGTATGGCAACTTTCCTTGGAGGAGGCTTTGCTTATATAGCAGATCAGTGTCATGATGAGAAACAGAAAACAAAACGAATAGCTGTGGTTGATTTAATTTTTGGAGTTGTATCTGGATTGGCAGGACTGTCTTCTGGGTACTTTTTAAGAGAAATGGGCTTTACATGGACATTTGTGACAGCATCTTTACTTCATGTTGTTAACATTGTCTATATTATTTTTTTTCTGGAAGACACAGTGCACGTATCTGAATTGCAGCAACAGGCACCATTGTCTTATAAAGAATATCTAAAAGAAACATTTTCTGGAGTGTACATGCTTTTTAAAACTGCCCCTTCTAAAAAGAGAATTTTAATCATTGTGTTACTTTTTATATTTATGACTTATTTATTTACTATGTATGGGGGGGGTTCCCTGTTTACATTGTATGAACTGGACGAGCCACTGTGCTGGACTGAAGTGTACATTGGATACGGAGCAGCTGCATTCACTTCTGTCTCTGTGACCAGTTTTTTGGGAGTTTACTTATTTTCTAAATGTCTCAAAGACATTTACATTGTCTTTATCGGGATATTTTCTTACATTGGAGGAATTGTCATGGCTGCCTTTGCCAAAACAACCCTGCTCATGTTTTTAGGTGAGTTCAAAGTCAATTCTCAACAATATAAAAGAAAATCCTTATGTGTGATTTATAGTGATTTGTGGTGGTGGTGGGTATTGGATGCACCACACTGAAGAGATAAAATATACAAGGTTGAGTCATACTGATTTAGGGTTTAATCAAAAGACAAATAGTATGGAGAGTGAGTGAATTTATTTGGCTTATGGTTTGGTTTTAGTGCTATACACATGTAGTGGATTTAGGGATTCCTCTGTGCTTGGATGCTTATGTTTCAGTGCACAACTGGTTTGATTGATTGATCTCCTTTTACTATTTAGGTGACTGAGCACTCAAAAATACATATCTAGTTTGTTTGCAACGTGTCTGTAAAATCTGGGATTTCTGTTACATTCATGTCTCCATACTGTTTCATTGCTTTACAGTAAGATTGCCATCTTTATTCTGCATTATGCCTATTCCTGTTCTCCGATCCATGCTGTCAAAAGTGGTTCTCCCCAGTGAGCAGGGTGAGTGGAATTTGTTTTTCAAAAATGCTGTGATGTTGTATTTCAGAAGAGAGACGCACCAAGGTCACCTTTAGACAAACAGATATATATTGGTATTTTCAGACTGCTTGCTGGATGAGTTTTGGAGGTATTTTCCAACCTTGGTGATTCTATGATTCTACTGCAAGTTTCAACTTTGAAAGAAGTTATTGCTCTAAAAAGAAAGATTATGCAAAATATGAATGCTCAATACCTATACAGATCACAGAATCATAGAATGGCTTGGATTGGAAGAAACCTCAAGGATCATCAAATTCCAACCCCCTGCTGCAGGCAGGGTTGCCAGCTGTAGGTCAAGCTCTAGATCAGGTTGCCCAGGGCCCCCTTAGACCTCCAGGGATGGGACATCTGCAACATCTCTGGGCAACCGGTTCCAGCATCTCGCCACCCTGTCTGTGGAAAAGTTCCTTGTAGTATCTAATGTGAATTTCCCCTCCTTTAACTTAAAACCATTCCCCCTTGTCCTATCACTGTCTACCTGTACAAAAAATGGATTTATCTCCTGTTTGTGGTCTGCCTTTAAGTCCTGGAAGACCATAATGAGATCTTCACAGAGATTTCTCTTCTTCAGACTGAACAAGCCCAGCTTCCTCATCCTGTCTTCATAGGAGAGGCATTCCATCCCTCTGATCATCCTCATGGTCCTCTTCTGGACTCTTTCCAAATGCTCCTCATCCTTCCTGGGTTGAGGGTCCTGGACCTTGACACATTAGAGTCCAGGTGGGCCTAGAGATGGGGGAAGTCAGAATAGAGGGGGACAGTCACCTCTCTCTCCCTACTGGCCACCCCTCTGTTGATGCAGCCACGATACTGTTGACCTTCTGGGCTGCAAGCACACACTACTGGCTCATGTTTTTCATCTGTCAGGACCCCTGTGTCCTTCTCAGCAGGGCTGCTTTCAAAGATTTCTTCTCTCAGTCTGTATATTTATCTGAGATTACTGAGTGCAACATTTGCAGCTGGCTTTGTTAAACCTCATTAGGTTTACACGGTCCCACCTTTCAAGTTTATCAGGGTCTTTCTGGATGGCATCCCTTCCTTCTCCATATCAACTACACTGCTCAGCTTGGTGTCAGCAGCAGACTTGCTGATGATGTACTCAATCCCATCATCTGTCACTAATGTTAAAGAGTACTGATTCCAAGATGGGCCCCTGGGAGACATGTCTCATCACTGGCCTCCACCTGAACATAGAACCACTGACCACAACCCTCTGGTTGTGACCTTCCAACTAATTCCTTATCCGCCAAATAGTCCACCCTTTGAACCTACATCTGTCCAATTTAGATGTAAGGGTGCGGTGGGGACCATGTCAAAGTCCTTGCACAAGTCCAGGTAGATGACATCAGTTGCCTTTCCTTTGTCCACCACTTCATCACAGAAGGCCACCAGTTTGATCAGACGTGCCCTTCCATTGGTGAAGCCTTGCTGGTTGTCTCCAATTACCCTCTTGTTCCTCATGTGCATTAACATCTCTTCAAGGAGGATCTGCTCCATGATCTTACCAGGCACAGAGGTGAGGCTCACTGGCCTGTTGTTCCACAGATCTTCCTTTCTCCCTTTCTTAAAAATGGGAGTGATATTTCTGTTTTTCTAGTCACCAGGGACTTCATCTGTCAGCCATGACTTTTCAAACACATGGAGAGCAGCTTGGCAACCACATCACCCAGTCCTGGGATGCAGATGCAATATTACAGTTCCTTTTGTAAACATGACGTGTAGAACAGCTTCTACATTCACAAGATTTTGATGGAGAAAATAAATGCTTCTTGTTTCATCAGTGTCACACTTTATAACTTAGAAAGATAAGCATTAAGTGGTCAGCCTTCAGTACACTTAAAAACAAAGGCTTGGATGCCGAGCAATGTACCAGCTTCACAAATGCCCATGACCACTTAAAGGTGTCTCAAGGGCTGTAACATATTATTTCTAGAAGTGCTTTCTTTAATGGAACACACACACAGAAACATGTGAGGCCTCAAAATATGTCTCTGGTGTCTCATATTTTGCTGCAGCCAGATTTTGAGGAGCACATATTGTCTAGAAGCATTCTTGTGAGTTGGTTTTAATTTTAAAAAGTACACATCTTTAGACACTGAAACAAAGATCTCTTTGTACTGTTGTACAAAGTACTTTGTACCATGTTTCTGTTGTTGTTGTTTCTTGGCGTTCTTTGTGGCTTTGGATACTTGAGTAATTTGATGCAGGAATTAGGTTGCCTCTTGCCATCCTTTTCTGCTTACCTATTGTGATTTTGTTCATAGTCTGATGAATATGGATGCAGCTTGGGAAAATGTGTCCAAAAGTATGCAGATGGGATAGACTGACACCTCACTGTGTAGTGCAGAGCCAGTGAAAGATTGCTTCTTTCATTTAAAAAATGAGAAGGGTCTGGTTATGTGCTGAACCAGCAGTCCTTGTTGCTCTTTGTTGCAAAGAGCCTTTTCCACATGTAAGAATGGAGACTAGCGAAGGAGGAAAAAGGAAAGGGAGACTGAGAATAGAGGGGAGAATTGAAAGGGGTAAAGGATGAAGCTGTGCAGAATGTGGTTAGTGAGTATGAACAGCTTGAATTTCATGTAACAAATAGATTCAATACAGCAATGCAGTGACAGGATAATAGCAAAGAAAAGTAGTTTCCTCTAACAACAACAGCAACAACAAAAAACTTCATTTAAAAAGTCTTCTGTAGGAGTCCCCATGGAAGACACTTCCATAACAAAGATATATGGTACTCAGGAGCTTGTTACTTGCACACTTGCTGAAATATTGCAGATAGATCTTTTGAAACAAGTTTTAAAACTTTGAAAGCGTTTTGGTTTTGTTTTGTTTGTAATCCAATCCAATTTGTTATTTTGCAGGTGCTGTGTTTGCTTGTATTGCCTGTTTAGAAATTTTGACTGGCACTATTTCACTTGCAGTCTTTAATGTTATCTATGCAGCTACAGTTGCATGGTTTTCAGGCTTTAGCTTCCTCTTGTCAGCCATCCTGTGTCTAATTCCACTGGGCGTACTGTGGTAAGTACATGTCAGGAAGGTGTTTCTGAGTGCTTTTACTGGTGGTTTCTGTTTTGACATGAATTGAAGCTGGGTGGTTTAATGCATTCTCAAACTTCAGTGTTTTCTAACTCACTGGGTGTATTTTGTGTGTAGTCCTTTCTTTGTTTTTCATCCAATTTAGGAACTAGTTATATATAGCAAATCTATGGCAGATACTCTGAGGCTTGTCAGCAGGGAACTGCTTGGAGTACGGCAGAGCTGAGACTGGGGAATATAGCAGTGATATGAGTTTTCCAGTGGGGGACAAGACAGAAGGCAGGGGGCCCAGGCTGTGGAGTTTTAGTTTCAGTTTGGTTCAGTGCTGCATGGTAGAGAAAGTTCCTGTTAAAACATTCTCTCGTGAGCAAAAGCTAACAAATATTAATTACGAAATCAGTCCATCCTGCAATCAAAACCACTGTCGATCATCATAATAAATTTTGGAAAGCTGCTTTTCTTCCATCATTAGTTTCTCAGATGTCCCATCCTTTGAATAACCACTCTCCAAAGCCTTCCGTTTGTCACACAGCGTTATTGTTTGAGAGATGAAATGTTAGTAGTTCCAGTCTGTGATCAGTCTGCCTGCTAAGTTAGTATTTTTCACACTCAGCAGAAATGATATTGCCTAACTTTTCTAATAAGGGACAAGTACTATCATTGGTTTTGTTTATTAAGATATGTCCAGGGCTTTGTGCTGTGGGAGATGGCTGTAACAGAACTATCAGGTTTGTTTTTACTGCTGAATCATCACGCTATACTCAGCTAACAGTATCTGTCTTATCTGTGCCTTGCAGCTGGCTTCTGTGCACAAGCTGGAATGAGGAGGACTTGGCTCTGCTTGTACCTGAAGAAGTATCCAGCATAGACAGCGTTGATAGCTGAACAGAGGAGTCACCAACTATTTGGCTTTTCTAATCTGACGTGCTGTGGCAAAGGCCATTGTGTCATACTGACACCATAGAGATAACTCATGAGTTGCAGATGAAATCAAAAACTGGCTGCACTAAGCACTCAATTGATAGCACTTTACATCCAGTCTTTTTTTAGCACTTGAATGAACCTATCTCCTGTACTTAACTATGCAGATAGGCCAGCAATGGAGATTTAAATGCTGCTTTCAGCGTGGAGAAAAAAAGTAAGGTAGGCTGATTGTCTTTTGCCACTTATCCCATCTCAAATTTGAAAATATAAGCTGTGGATTATGATACATCTTATGTCAAAGTGGGGGTACAGAGATTATCAGCCCCTTAGCCAGAGGATGTTGGCAATTCTGCTGGAGCCAGTGGAGCTCGTGCCAGCTGTGCATGCAGTCCACTGCATACATCTTAAAAGCTCCATCTTAACTGTGAAGCCCACAGAACTGTCTAAAATTACTAAACAAAAAGGTACCTCTTTCAGAAAGCAACTGAACGGAAAGCAAGACTTGTACCTGCTGTAAGACTTACCTCTCTGCAGTTACCAGAGAATGTTTGTGCAAGTTGAATGTATGGTGTTTGGAGCTTGCCTGTGATTTAGTTCTTAAAATGGATTTTCACACTTACAAAATTTCCAGACTGTAAGAGTGTAAAGATAGGCCTGTGCCTACATTTTGCAGAGGCCATACTGCACATTTATTTTTAAATTATAAATCTTTCATCATTTTTTTCACATATTGGAGACTACCTAAAGACACCTCTATGTTTTGTCCCGTGGATATTTCTTGTTTTCCAGTTAAGCTGGCAGCACTGAACTCACTTTGTATTTCTAATGAAAGGCTGTAACAGCTTTTTTTTTCAGTGGATCTTCAGATACTTTTTTTATTAATTCTGAAATGAGGTGACCAAATCTGAACTGTGCACCTAAGCATCTTAAAATGAATGCAGTGTAATTTATTTGCACTTGAATAACATTTCTAATCTTCAGAGCACTTTACAAATGCTGCTGGGAACTTCCCTCTACAATATATTATCCCCCCTGTTTCAGAGAAACAGAAATCAACAGACAGGAGAAGTGACTTGCTCTGGGTCACATTGCAAATCATGAAGAGCTCTAAACCTAGAAATCAGTTTTTGTGTTGATTCTTCAGCTTTTTCCTTGAGATCTATAGGCAGAAACTAGCCACAGTATTAGCTTTTGGAATGCATAGCATAGCAAAAGTGGGAATAAAAAAAAGTGGGAATGAACACCCTATTAAAGATCACTCCCATGTGTTATTTTAGGAGAGAGTTCTATAGCCAAAATTGTCCTGATCCCTGAAAGGAGAGATAGGTTGTATGTGACTGTCTTCCCCAAGAAAGAGTAGTTAGAAAAATCGAAGTGTATTGGGAGACAGATCGTTATTACCAAGAGTACTTCTGCAGAGCTCCTCAGTGGCACGTAATAGTGCATCAGGGCAGTGCTATCATGGATCCTTTTTGTTTGAAAGGCAGTGTTGTTTTTCATGATATGTGTTTTGACCACCGAGAAGATTGAATGGTCAAATAAAGTAGAGTGGAATTGGCACTGTCTGGCAGTCCATAGAATCACACAACCAAAAAATGGTTAGAGTTGGAATGGAGCTTACAGCCCACCCAGCCCCAGCCCCTGCCATGTGCAGGGACGCTTCCCAGCAGCTCAGGCCACCCAGGGCTGCACCCAGCCTGACCTTGAGTGCTTGCAGGGATGGGGTGCCCACAGCTCTCAGGGCAGCCTGAGCCTCACCACTCTGAGAGAAAAGATCACTGCTATCTGTTGTTGGGGGAAATGATGCAGGAGGACGTGGAGCTCTTGGGGCGGGTCCAGAGGAGGGCACTGAGATGATCAGAGGGCTGGAGCACCTCTCCTATGAGGAAAGGTTGAGGGAAGTGGGCTTGTTCAGCTTGGAGAAGAGAAGGGTCCAGGGAGACCTCATCATGGCTGTCCAGTACTGGAAGGGAGAGTATAAACAAGAGGGGGAATGGCTGTTTATGAGGGTGGATAGTGACAGGACAAGGGGGAATGGTTTTAAACTGAGACAGGGGAGGTTTAGGTTAGATATTAGGGGGAAGTTTTTCACAGAGGGTGTTGACGCACTGGAACAGGTTGCCCAAGGAGGCTGTGGATGCCCCATCCCTGGAGGCATTCAAGGCCAGGCTGGATGTGGCTCCGGGCAGCCTGGTCTGCTGGTTGGTGACCCTGCACATAGCAGGGGGTTGAAACTAGATGATCTTTGAGGTCCTTTTCAATCCAGGCCATTCTGTGATTCTATAAAGAGAGTTAGTTTTCTCCAGGAGAGAAAATGCTAATATGGATGAGTATTTTGCTTCTGTCCTCGTCAACCAAAACTTACATTGGCAATTAAAGATCGTTAGCTTTTCCTAGTTTATGCACTCGCCAGTAAATAAAACTGTGTAACTCTTCACCCCTGAGGTGCCCAAGTTGCTGCCAACTTGCGTAAGAAGCAAGATGAGTTTTACAGTAATCACTGGGTCCAAAACTTAACAAGTACTTGTAGAGACATTAAGGATACACTGATGTAAAGAGTTTCAGCACAAAGACTGCACTGTCTTCCTTTTGTCTTCATTAAGCAGTTTTCTAAGTGTTTGTGAAATTAACTATTGCACAGTGCCTGGAAGTGGAAAAAAAAAACAGGGGTATGCCTTCACTTCTTCAATGAAGGTAGCAAGGCAGTTCTGTGGCTGCACTCTGCTGGGAATAAGAAGGTGCACGTGCACTTTGGGAATGGCTTTGGTAAGGTTCAATGTTGCTGTACCAAGTATTTGCTGTTTACAGAATATTTCAGCTAGACACAGTGTATGGGATTGCTAAGTTTCAGTCAAAACACATGAAGGGCACGATTTGTGTTTTTAAAGTGCCTAGCATTGAAAACGTTGAGGAAACCAGGTACTAATGTGCTTTATATTCAAGTATGTAGCAGTCGATTTATTTGTATTTAAATACAGATTATTTTAACAGAAATCAATAGTGAAATTTGGTCTAAATTCTGTGTTGTATTTGTAGTTCTTCATGTGGCTTTTGGCAAACAGCCAACGGGAGGACTGGTAGAGTAGCATTAATGCAAGCAGCATACAGCGGTGATACGCTGCTGTCTGTGCAGTCATAGCAAACAAACTGCAGTGCAGGAAGATGTGATTTTGCTTCCCTCCTGTGCTGAGGGAGAGGAAGGGATGCTGCCCACAGCATCAGCACCAAGAGGAGATGAACTGCAGAACAGATCCAACACTGCTGTGGGGGCCACAGCTCAGCATAGGGGCTGCAGTGCTGCACGCACTTGAGAGCACCTTCCTCCCATGGCCCAGGCTGAGTCCCAGATGAGCCCTAGCAGCAGGGCTGACCCAGCCGGCCACACACCTCACACGGCGCACATCTGCTCAGGCTCTGCTTGTGGGCTGCTGCTTGCAGCCTCACAGAAGGAAGCCTGGAGAGACAGGGAGAAGGGGCTGAGCCAGAAAGACCAGCTTCCCCCTCAACCAGTTTAGTAGTAACACTTCCTTTTAATCCCAAAAGCTCTTTGCCTTTGACTTCCATTACATTAACAGCATACCACATAAATTCTTGTATGTGCTTCATAGACACCATTTGCTTTCCAGCCTGGCTGACTCCTAAAATTAGCATCCTTACAGACATGATGAACAATGCAACTTCCCTGCTCTGAATATGGCTTGATCTCACCCTGCCCTGAGCCTACCACAACACAAAGTCTGGTGAAACCCGACCTACTTGCTCTGCAACAGCTTGCTCTTGTTTCAGACATATCCACTAAGAAATTTCACTTTTATTGAACATGAGCAGCGTTTCCTGCTAATTTAAAGCATAGGAGCTCACAGAAAGAACAGCTACATAAAACATCGAGTAGGTCTATGCTTTCATGTTAAATTTATTAGTCCTTTCATATAACCTCACTGAGGCAACAGATACAACTGAGGGCTTAATTTTTACTTCATTAGAAAACCTCTGATCTCTCCAACTCTTAAAAGGCAATTTTAAGTTTCTTAAAAAAACAACAAAACCACCAATAAATTATCTCGTCATCTCAGTGTTTTTAATTTGCTGCAGCATTTTGCAATAAATATGCATAAGAGCACCATGAAATTTACATTAAGACAGCTAGAAGCTGTGGTGCATATGTGTAAGGAGTTTATGGCAGTTTTAAGCACACTGAAAAGCCCAAGAAATGCTTGAGGTTCTGGGACTGTGAACAGGTTTGTAACAACATTTCTCATTTCTGCTAACATCATCTATAGCAGCACCCTTAGCACTTCACCTAAGAGTAATAAAAATCTGCTGGATAAAATAATTCCTGCCTCAGAAGTATTGTTTCACACTCCCTGCAGATGACAAGAGATTATCCATTTCGAACCACAACCCCTTTTGTTCCATTAGTAAACACACAGAGGGGGTGGTCACAGACATATGGTGTCTGTCCATCACAAGCAATACAATAAAGACTGGAAAAGTCTGTCTGGTTGTTCTTATGGTTGCCTGCAATGCCAAACCACTCCAGCTGCCTTAACAGGAGGGAGGAAATGCATGCAGCAGGATTCCACTGGCAGTGCAGAAATTAAAGATCTTTAAAGTAATGGCAAGAAAAAGTAACAACACTGTGTTGTGGACAAGAGATCCACGATTCACAATTAATTATATTTTGGAACACAACAGCATTTATAGCAAACTTTTATTCAGTGCTTAAAAAAGTGTATGGAAGTTTTCATGAACAAAGCATTACTCGATGGAAAACATCTTTGTTTCCTCCTTAGAAAGTTCTTCTGCAAGAACATCCATTAAATGCATTTACCTACAATAATCACTTTTAAAATGCATGGGTACGGATTTCTTGTACACATGTATAGCATTTCCATAACTAAGAGACTTATCCTGAGCAGTGTATGAGGAGACATTATTTAAGCTGTCTAGTTACAGGACATTTATATAATTGACAACAAGCACAGAACAATGTATGGACTTTAAACATTTAATATGCCTTTTCACCAAGGAAGGCAAATGATATCTGCACGACTGTTTAACGCTGAGAGTCAGTTTAGTGATCACATATTTAGATCTGCAGTATAAAGACACACACAAAACATTTGGGAGTACATTTTGTTACAATAAACCAAGTTTGTATTCCATCATCATGTGGGGCTCTCCCATAACTTCACTTTGTGAAGGATCTGAAGAAAAAAAGAAAGAGTCAAAAGCATTAGGCTTTTACCAAGCTACAAAGACCAGTAAGAACTATGAAGGTGACCATACTTAATTTTTTTCATTTTAATGCTTAGTGCAAAAATTACTCAATTGATTCTTGACAGTACTGCACAGTGCACCTCTGTCCAAAGCAATGATCAGATAACCAGTACACCTACAGTGGAACAGTGATGTGAGTGCTTTGTAAGGGGGCAGAAGGGAACTGCTCAAGTAAAACCAAGTAGTTCTACAAAAGCACAACATCCTATAATGGCTAAATGAGATCTGTATCTAATAAAATGCAAGTCTGATCATAGCTTCTTCCACAGGTCCCATACACCTTTCCAATGCAACTTTTCTTTAGCACAAGAGGAGTTGATCATTCAGCCCTTCTGCTAG